CGGGAGTCATCCATCATCCATCCTCGTTCTCGCCATCGCTGCATCGCATCGGTCTTTTTTCATTCATGCATGCTGATTGATATTCTAGGCTATCAGTATCAGTCCAACGGCGTCTTGCGCCCACGACCGCGATCACGATCGCGATACATATCCCCGTCCTTATGTTTTGCGCGCGCGCGAATTGGCAGCCGGTACCGAGCGCTGCGCTGCACAAATTGCTTCTCCCAATTTTCATGTGCGGCGGCCATGGTCGTGTTCTTGTTCTCGTGCAGGGTCGGATCGAATCCTGACTCGGGCGGGCAGGCAGGCAAGTCTTGTGCCCACGACACCCGCCCGAGTCTTTGTCTCCCTGCGCCGCTTCTCTTCTCACAATAATAATAATGAACATCGCCTAAATATCCTACCCGGCTTGTTCTCGTTTTCGTTGCTGTTTAACTTCCGGCCTAGATCTCATCGCATCTCATCTGGAGCCAGCGGCGTCTTGCCTTGCACCTACCCGCCGACAGCGCCAAAGTTTGGGATCCTCGTGACGACGGAAGATCCTTGTCCTTGTTCTGAACATTGTTCACTTCTCGTCTCGTCTCGGATCCCGGCCCGCCGCCAAGCTCGAAGCCGGGCACTCGGGGGTCTTGAGAAGCCAAACCAAACCACACCACACCAAAACGAGAACAAGAGGAAAGAACAAGAAATTGCTGGACAATGCAGTCGTCGATGCGGCGGGGCAGCACCGGCGAATTGAATTAAACAAGGTTCACAACCGCGGCGGCGTCTTGAGCCCGCCCGTATCAATCATAGAGGTAAGTACTGTAGGTATTCTTGTTCTTGTCCGCCAATCGGATCTCGGGTTTTATTCATTTTCCGTCCTTGTTCTTCTGATCTGCGGCGTATGCTGGCACGCTCCTTCCATTCATCGCATCGGCGAACCTTGTCAATGATGATTGGGTTCGGGTTGATGCTTGTTAAGGTATGACTGGCGGCGCGCACGTTGTATTGGCATGGCATGGCAATGTCTGCATGCTGTAATCGTTGCACTCGTGCCGTTGTACATCCCAACCACTGGCAGGAAAGAAGGAAAAAAGAGTTCGAATCGGGATGCCTCTGGGGGAATCGAACCCCCATCTCCTCAATACTGGATATTCGAATTGGCTCACAGGCTTGAGGTGACTCCCATAGTCCACAGAGGCTCTGAACCATAGTCAGTCGACCGCTTCTCAACCGAGGGCTGAAAATGCCGACGCGTAGCTCACCACTGGCAAGAAAAAGTACAGAAGTACAGCCCTATGCCTCTGGGGGAATCGAACCCCTCCTCGATGCATATGTTCATTTCCAACTGATCGACGCAAGCTAGTGAGGTGACTCCCATAGTCCACCGAGGCTTGCTGTACTCTGTTGTGAGCCTGTCTTCTAGTAGTTTAATAGTTGCAGTAAAGAACACAACAAATCCATTTCGTCCGCGTTGTACTTGATATCCTATTCGGCGTACTAAACACAAATTTTAGCTAGCCACTGAGTATGCCGACTTGCCGAAAACTTCGGAGCAATTGAACCCCATCGAATCGATGTTAATCTTTGGTTTTCTCCTTGCCACTAGTTCGCGCCAAGTCCACCTGGTGTTCAATAATTTAGCCTGAGGGTTTGAAATATTTGCCGGAAGATGACAGCCTGAGGCTGACGATTCTCGCCGCTCCAGAATTGGGTTGCACTGCATGCATGACGAAGGTCATAATCGCGCTGTAATATCGTCGGGCTTGTGGCTAGCCACGCATGCTATCTCCTAAGCCTGAGGAGGCTCGATCCAGGAGTGATAACCTTGGACAGAGATGCAGGGTCATTTTTGAACATGTCAACTTCAACATGAAACAGCCCCACCTTCAACTCAACCGCAATATCATTGACCCTATTGACCCTCCAGTCCCGGCGAGCGTGTCCCAAAATTGTGAGCTGCGGATGTACCGCTAAGCCGCTGGTCACAAATATGCCGACGTCGTGCCTATTTCACCGCTTTAACGCCGTACAACGCTTTACGCACCGGCCCGTTGAATGAGGAAAATCGATGCAGTGCAGGTTGGAGTGAGAGTTCAACACCTGGGAACAACGGAAGTAATCATTGTCCATTCAACTTTTTTCCGCAGTTAACTCACGCGCGACGTCGGAGAGGCACGCAGACCGCTTTGACTCTTCCAGCCCTGATAAATCATGTCTCTCGGATCTCGATGTCGCACTGCCCAATGTGTCGGCCAAAATTGGTGCGGGGAGGAAGAAAGGAAATGCCGAAGTGACGTCACCCATCCGAGAATCTAATCTCAGAGTTGGATTAGATTATGACAGGAGGACATCTTATCTCTTATCGACTCGGTAAATGCTCTGGTTCTTGTTCTTGTTCTCATTCAGCTTCAGCGACGGATTTTGGCTTCTGTTCTCTGTTCTTCTGATCTGCGGAGGTATGTGTTGCTTGTTGAGCCTCAGTATTCATTCACGTGTAAGTATTCTGGTGGCCTGGACTCGTACGTTGTGCCACATCTGCTAGAGTTGTTCACAAACATTACAGTTGAAAATATTGAATTGTCAAATCTCGCGCCGAGTCTTGGTTGCATAACAATTTTGTCTCGAGGGACTCCGATGCTCAAAATGCCAACCACTGGCAAGAAACAACCCAGTCAATCGACATGCCTCTGGAGGTAATCAAACCCCGATCTCCTCAATGCTATTACAAATCGACCAAGTGAAACAAATGAGGGGACACCCATATGTAGTCCACAGAGGCTTTGAACCTCAGTCAGTTGATTGCTTTTCAACCGATGTTTGCGCGTACATACTTCCCGATAAGAATACTGGGCCTGGGATTTTTCGAACACAGCCTGTTGAAGTTCCGCATTGACACCTTGTACTGTTTGCCGTGATCATTCGCCGTGTAAGCGAGAGGTTATGTCAGACTCCTACGGCGAAAATACTTGAGCCCAAGCAGGCTAGCAAGCGGCGGCTAGCTGTCCACTCTCGCCTCGTCTCAGCCCCGGTCCCCGCCGTGCCCATGCCCATGCCCTGATCCTCGTATCGTAACGGCCCCTGGGCCGTCATTTTGCTTTGACATCGCTAACGCTATTATCCACTTTCCTCGGTAAAAATCAAAAATCAACAAGCCGGCATCGATTTTCCTCGCTTAAAAAATCTTCATGGCACCGCCGTAATGCCGCATCTTTTCCGTCTCGTTGGTACAAGTGCCACTCAGTACTCATTGTCCGCTCCAGGCCTCGCGCCTCGATGATATTGTCCAATGTCCCCTAAGTTATTGTCCCCACCCGGTTATTGTACCGCATACAGCACCTGGCAACTCGTTCTAACTTCTCGACATCGGCTGACCGTTACATCCCAGCTGCAGGGTCGCCATAGGGTTCAAAGTACGTCCGTTTCCTTCTCGGCGTCTCGTCTCGTCTCGTCTCGCGCCCACCCTGGGTACCCACGAACAACGGCTACGACCACAGCTTCTCACAATCTCAAAACCTCACAATACCAACGCAGCGCAGGACGGTCCTCGTTACAGTCCAGCTCGGATCCTGATTCTGATCTTGTTAGCGTTAACGTTCTGCATAGCCGAAGCGATCCTTGTTCAGTTCTCGACACCGTTATTATTATAATGATAATACATATTTCAGAGCCCGAATCGGCGGCGTCCGGCGCCCGGCGCAGAGAAATCAAACGAGCTTCTCGCCATCGCTGCATCAGCATCGGGGCTATCAATTCGGCGGCGGCGTCTTGCGCCCACGAACTAACGGCTACGGAATGTCGTCGGCAATGGTACATGTTTGTTCTCACTTTAAGCGACATCCTTGGTTCTTCTCTTTAGTTTTTCTTATTCTGGCGGTAGGTATCCTTGTCCTACAGTAAAATGCATCGCTGCCATCAATCCGGGCGGGATCTTACGCCCATGGACAGCACTCCTACCGCCCAGAGTCATCCATCCTTGTACTCGCCATCGCTGCATCGCATCGGTCTTTTTTCATTCATTCTGATTGATATTCTAGACTATCAGTATCAGCTCAACGGCGTCCTGCGCCCACGACCGCGATCACGATCGCGATACATATCCCCGTCCTTATGTTTTGCGCGCGCTCGAACTGGCAGCCGGTACCGAGCGCTGCGCTGCATGCTCACAATTTTGAATTTTCTTGTACGGTGGCCATGGTCATGTTCTTGTTCTCGTTCAGGGTCGGATGGGCAGGCAGACAAGCGGGCTGGCTCTTGTGCCCACGACACCCGCCCTAGTCTTTGTCTCCTTGCGCCGCTTCTCTTCTCACAATAATAATAATTAACATCGCCTAAATATCTACCCGGCTTGTTCTCGTTGTTGTTTAACTTCCGGCCTAGATCTCATCTCATCTAGAGCCAGCGGCGTCTTGCCTTGCGCCCACCCGCCGACAGCGACAGCGCCAAAGTTTGGGATCCTCGTGACGATGGAAGATCCTTGTCCTTGTTCAATTCTCGTCTCGTCTCGTCGTCTCGGATCCCGGCCCGCCCGCCAAGCTCGAAGTCGGGGACTCGGGGGTCTTGAGAGACCAAACCACACCAAACCAAAACGAGAACAAGAGGAAAGAACAACGAAAAATACTGGACAATGCAGCCGTGGATGCGCCGGGGCAGCACCGGCGAATTAAATTAAACAAGGTTCACATCTTGCGCCCACCCTGTTCAATTATGGAGGTACTGTAAGTAGTTATTCTTGTTCTTGTCCGCCAATCGGATCTCGGGTTCTATTCATTTTCCGTCCTTGTTCTTCTGATCTGCGGCGGTATGCTGGCACACTCCTTCCATTCATCGCATCGGCGCACCTTGCCAACAGTGCTGATTAGGTTCGCGTTGTTAACGTTGCTTGTTAAGGTGTGACTGGCGGCGCGCACGGTGTATTGGCATGGCATGGCATGTCTGCATGCTGTAATCGTTGCAATCGTTCCGTTGTACATCCCAACCGCCGGCAGGAAAGAAAGAAAAAAGAGCTCGAGCGGCGATGCCTCTGGGGGGAATCGAACCCCCATCTCCTCAATACTGGACATTAGAAATCGGCTCACGGGCTTGAGGTGACTCCCACAGTCCACAGAGGCTCTGAACCATAATCAGTCGACCGCTTCTCAACCGAGGGCTGAAAATGCCAACGCGCAGCTCACCACTGGCAGAGAAAAAAGTATGGAAGTACAGCCCTATACCTCTGGGGCAATCGAACCCAATTTCCTCAGTGCATATGCTCATTTCCAACTAATCGACACAAGCTAGTGAGGTGACTCCCATAGTCCACAGAGGCTTGCTGTACTCTGTTGTGAGCCTGTCCTATATTCAGTCGACCGCTTCTGAACCGAGGGCTGAGAATGCCGACGCGCAGCTCATCGCTGGCAAGAAAAAAAGTATGGAAGTACGGCGCTATACCTCTGGGGGAATCGAACCCTACCTCCTCAATGCATATGCTCATTTACAACTTAACGACACAAACTAGTGAGGTGACTCCCATAGTCCACAGAGGCTTGTAGTACTTTGCTATTAGTTAAATAGTTGCAGTAAAGAGCACAACAAGTCCATTTCGCCCGCGTTGTACTCGATATCCTATTCGGCATACTAAACACAAATTTTAGCTAGCCTCTGAGTCTGCCGACCTGCCCAAAACTTCGGAGCAATTGAATCCCATCGAGTCGATGCTAATCTTTGGTTTTCTCCTTGCCATCAGCTCACACCAAGCTCGTCTGTTTGTGTTCAATGATTTAGGGTCTGAAATATTTGCCAGAAGATGACAGCCTGAGGCTGACGACTCCAGAATTGGGTTGCACTGCATGCATGACGAAGATCATAGTCGCGCGTAAAATATCGCCGGGCTTGTGGCTAGCCATACATGCTATCTCCCAAGCTTGAGCAGGCTCGATCCAGGAATGATGATTTTGGGCAGAGAGATGCAGGGTCATTTTCTGTCATTTTTGAACATGTCAACTTCAACATGAAACAGCCCCGCCTTCAACTCAACCGCAGTATCATTGAACTTATTGACCGACCCTCCAGTCCCGGCGAGCGTGTCCCAAAATTGTGAGCTGCGGATGTACCGCTAAACCGCTGGTCATAAATATACCGACGTCGTGCCTATTACACCGCTCTAACGCCATACAACGCTTTACGCACCGGCCCGTTGAATTGAGGAAAATCGATGCAGTGCAGGTTGGAGTGAGAGTACACCTGGGAACAACGGAAGTAATCATTGCCCATTCAACTTTTTTTCTCCGCAGTCAACTCACGCCGCGCGACGTCGGAGAGGCACGCAGACACCGCTTTGACTCTTCCAGCCCTGATAAATCATGTCCTTTTACTCTCGGATCTCGACGTCGCACTGCCCAGTGTGTTGGCCTGGCCAAAATTGGTGCGGGGAGGAAACACCGAAGTGACGTCACCCATCCGAGAATCTAATCTCAGAGTTGGATTAGATTATGACAGGAGGTTGTCCGCGATACCCGCCTGAGTCTTTGTCTCCTCGCGCCGCTTCTCTTCTCATAATAATAATTTCTCGTTATGGCCTAGATCTAGAGCCAGTGGCGTCTTGCCTTGCGCTCACCCACCCACCCGCCGGCGGCGCCAAATTTTGGGATCCTCGTGACGATGATCCTTGTCCTTGTTCAATTCTCGTCTCGGATCCCGGCCCAGCCCGCCGCCAAGTTCAAAGTCGGGGACTCGGGGTTCTTGAGAAACCATACCAAACCAAAACGAGAACAAGAAAAGAACAACGAAATTACTGGACAATGCAGCCATGGATGTATTAGAATAGAAATCCACAAATTAAGGCTCACAACCCCGGCGTCTTGCGCCTACCCTTATCAATTATGGAGGTAAGTACTATAAATGTTGTTCTTGTTCATTCTTTGTCCGCCAATCGGATCTCATTTTCTGTTCTTGTTCTTCTGATCTGCGGCGGTATGCTGGCAGGATCCTTCCATTCATCGCATCGGTGAATCTTATTGCTGATTGGGATTGGGTTGTTGCTTGTTGAGGTGCGACTGGCGGCGGGCACGCTGTATTGGCATGTCCGACATGCATGCTGTAATCGTTGCAATTGTTCGTTGGACCCTATTCCATTCTGTTTGGGTTGGACTCCGTTAACGTTGTACATCCCAACCACTGGCCACTGGCGGGAAAGAAAGAAGAGTCCGCGCTGGATGTCTCTGGGGGAAATCGAACCCCCATCTCCTCAATACTTTTGTGAGTTGAGAGTTGGCCCAAGCAAGCGACGCGACTCCCATAGTCCACAGAGGCTCAGAACTAGAGTCAGTCAACTGCTTCTCAACCGAGGGCTGAAAATGCCAACGCGCACCTCGCCGGTGGCAAGAAAAAAAGCATGGAAGCGTTAACATTGTTGCTATACTTCTGGGGGGAATTGAACCGCATCTCCCCAATGCATATGCTCATTACCAAACGAAGTAAGCTAGTGAGATGATTCCCATAGTCCACAGAGGTTTATTACTCTCTGTTATGAGGGCCTCTAGTAGGGTTGTCGTCAAACTCAGAGCACAACAAGTTGATATTCTATTTGCATGCTAACCATAAATTTTAGCTAGCCTCTGAGTCTGCCGGCTTGACAAAAACTTCAGAGCCATTGAACCCTATCGAGTCGATGGCAATCTTTGGTTTTGTCCTTACTATCAGTTCACACCGAGTCCATCTGCTGGTGTTCAATAATTTGGGGTCTGAAATATTGACAGCCTGAGGCTGACAATTCTCAGAGCTCCAGAATTGGGTTGTGGATGATGGAGATCATATCGTGCTGTAATACTTACCGCCGGGCTTGTGGCTAGCCACACATGCTATCTCCCATGCCTGAGGAGGCTCGATCCAGGAGTGATAGTTTTGGACAGAGATGCAGGGTCATTTTTGAACATGTCAACTTCAACATGAAACAGCCCCGCCTTCAACTCAACCGCAGTATAATTGACCCTATTGACCCTCCAGTCCCGGCGAGCGTGTCTCAAAATTGTGAGTTGCGGATGTACCGCTAATCCGCTGGTAATAAATATGCCGACGTCGTGCGCATTACACCGCTTTAACGCCGTACAACGCTTTACGTACCGGCCCGTTGAATTGAGGAAAATCGATGCAGTGCAGGTTGGAGTGAGAGCGCAATACCTGGGAACAACGGAAGTAATCATTGTCCATCCAGCTTTTTCTCCGCAGTCAACTCACGCCGCGCGACGTCGGCGAGGCACGCAGACACCGCTCTGACTCTTCTAGCCCTGATAAATGATATCCTCTTACTCTCGGATCTCGACGTCGCACTGCCCAATGTGTTGGCCAAAATTGGTGCGGGGAGGAAGAAAGGAAACACCGAAGTGACGTCACCCATCCGAGAATCTAATCTCAGAGTTAGATTAGATTGTGATGATTTTATGACAGGACATCTTATCTCGTATCGCGGAGAACTTAGATAGATTACATCAGCATCATGAATTATAGTGTTGCCGCGGCTCAAGCCGTCACACTTTGTCACAACTCACGATCTGTGCTCCCATACGAAAACAACAATTCCTCCCACCCAGGTCGGTATGGGGAGATACTTGAGTACCCTCTAGGCATTATACCTGATGCTTAATATCACATAAAATACTTTGTAGGTTTTTTTAGGTGGCCAATACAAAACCTGTCAAAACGGCTCATGTGACGGCTTGAGCCGCTGAGCCGTAAGCTTCTTTTCCCTCATAGCGCACCAAAAATTATAGATAGAACATATGTTAGCCGAGGATAAATGAGGCTAACCTTATTGTAAACATGCCTCGCAACATGGATATTCGCCAAAATCTTATAGGACCACAGTGGAGGTCGAGCCATGGTCGGAGCCGGCCTGTCACGTTAGCCGAGCCGCGGCAACACTATCAGATTCATGATATAACCTGCGTCGGAGGTCGGAGTTGCTGTCGGTTGGTGATCCGTCTCACCTCATCGGTTGCCGTGAGCCCGGGATAGCCCGGGATAGCCCGGATTGCGCGCGCGGTCCTGGTCTCGAGTGACTCCCGTGCTCGACAATCCGTCTCGACAGCTTGAATCCTGTATTCCTGTATTGCTGCACCGACCTCGACTCGGAGTTTGCACTGCTTGAGGTGCCTGCTGCGCTGGGCCGCACAATTGCCCCAGCCCTGCGCCGCGGCTGTGCTGGGCATACTCTCTCACTCGTGCTGGCTTCACGGACCGAGAGGAGCAACGAGACGGACAAGCCGCGACCGAGTGGCGGATATCGATGTCGCTACCATTCTCACCCCGCGCCTCGGCCTCCGTGCTGGCTAGCTTCGCGGAGAGCGAATTGTCGGCATTGTGTGAGGTATCGGTATCGTTAACAAATACATGCCGCAACGCCAACTGGTTTCGTCTCGTCTCGTCGTGTCGTATTGCCCACAGCTGCAAGGTACAAGTGCCTAGGTCAAGGTACACTGGTTAATTATAGCCTGCTTAATGTTCCTAGGCCTCTCCGCACCCCGGTCGTCAGCCGTCGGTCGTCGGAAATGACTGGAATGCAAGCTAACGCTGTCCGCGTCCGTCTTCATCTCAGCCTCGGGTCTGCCTAGCTGTTGGCCCCGTGTCGGATCTTCACTTCCCGCCTCTATTCCGCCCTGCCAACGCTGTGGCTCTTCTACCTTCTCCCCCCGTCTCGTACCTTCATTGTACTCTCGTAATTTGCTAATGCTATTGTCCTCTCTTACATAGGCCTCTGGATCCGCCCTCCTGCCGTTCCGTCCAGGCCAGCCGCCCAGCCAGCTCATTGTCGGCGATACTCGGCTTTTCATCTATGGTACTCATCGACTCGCGCGGCCGCCATAAAGCCACATTGTTGTTGTTTTCGTCCTCGTCCTTGTTCTCTCTGGGAAGTACTCATTGTGAGTGCGCATTGTCCACCTCCTGCGCCCTTGACGCGACATTCTTGTTCTTGTCTTTAGCCTTGTTCTGGACTCTATCCTTGTCCTCACCATCGTTGCATCGCTCTGCGGCCTTCTTCCTTCTTTCATGTTGCGTTTTCAATCCGAGATCTTACGCCCCACCCACGAAAAGACCACTGGTGCTTCTCTTCTCGCAAAATCGTCTCGCCTTGTTC